TTTCCTATACTTTTTATTATTTGTCCTATACTGCTATACTGTATTTCTGAGAATCTGTATGGTTACAATGTATTCATGTCTGTGCAAAAATGCCATAAAGATTGCATATTTACATGTACTGTACTTTGTGTTCATAGATTATGTGATTTTGATTTTTTATATGCCAAATACACAATGGCAATAAAGTTAAAATGAAAATTGTTCATCCTATAAGTGTATCATATAAATAATGTTAAAACAAACACAAACAGACCTAAAGAGGACATAAAACATGGTTGTAAACACATTGTAAACTTCTTTTCAAAACAATTCCAGTATGTCTAGCATGCATTATGAGTGTGTCTGTTTGTGTGCATACTGACTCCAGCGAGAGCTTCTCCTCTTCTTCATTCAGGTTAGGGAGTCTGTGTAGACCTAAAGTCATCCTGAGAGCATCAACATGCTCCTTCAGAGGTTTGTACTCATCATGCAGGCGGCGAGTTGTTTCTAGCAGCTTATTCAGGTCATTCTCCGACTGTTTGATGGTGCTCTCCATCTGAGAGGACATGATTAGGAATTTCAGAAAAACATGTAATATGTTCAGTATAAGCTATAATCATTTTACCCTTTCTACTAAAAATGATAAAAACACTGAAGCTCCATTCTCTATATTTATTATATAATGTTGGTTGAACTATTCTCAATTCTGTTACTAAATTGTACTCATCTAAAAACTGAACTGAGATTCCAGTCACACTTCCTCTATAGCGAGAGATTTTAGTACTCACTCACCACATTTATATCAGCATGGATGAGCCTCAGCTCCTCCACATGTGCCATTTTCTCTTGTAGAAGCAGATCCATCTCTTGTTTATACTCTTTCAGATGCTTCTCCTCAGACTCCAGAGCCTCAAACTCAACCTTAAGACGAGACTTGATCTTCTGCATCTGGACAGTCTTGTTCCTGCAGCCAGTGGCAGAGACAAAAGACAACAGCTGTCAGTTTATTTCTCTCAGTCATAAATGCAAAAAAAAAAAAAAAACACAATCTCACAGAAACAACAAGATCTAAAACAAAAAGCTTTAAATTTGTGTGAAATTATGAATAAGTTAATAGACGTTCTGCATTGATTTGATAAGATAAGCTGATGATTTATTTGATTGATAAGCAGGAGGACTAATA